GACTGGAGAGGGTCTAGATAGACTGTTTCCTCCAGGTGCCGAGGAAACTGCTGTGCAACCACACTCTCAACAACCTTCGCCACAAAGCGAAGGTTGGAGACTGGACGATAGTTGGCCAATACATCTGGGTTCAGGGAAGGCTTCTTAAGGAGGGGCCTCACCACCGCCTCTTTGAGGGCCGTGGGAAAGGCACCCTCCCCCAAAGAAGCGTTTATAATTCCCTGAAGCCAGGCTCGTGTACTCTCCTGAGGACGAGGAGGAGGGCAAAGTCACAAGGGGGGGGAGAGGGGTTCACCTCACCTCCCCAACCGGGCCAGCTGCAGCTGTGCAATTCAGCCCGGACACCCGGGGCGTGGGTGGCTGGCAGGCAAAACACCCAGAGGAGAATGCTTGCTCCTTGCTATCTCATCCCCTCCCTCTTTGCCCCCCCCCATCACCCCAAACACTGCGCTCTTTGTCTGCGGCCTCGAAGCATCACAGAGTCCGTACTGTGGCTGTGCCTGGCGCAAGACCCCCCCTTTTTCCTCCTCTCTATACTGGTCACGTTTTGTGTGTGCGGTGTGAGGTGGGGGGGGGAGTCAGGGAGGGAAGAGATTGTCCCTTTTGTTCAACCAGCTCATTCTCCCCCACACACACACTTCTCTGCGTTGCACAACAGCAGCAACACAGTGGAGTTTGAAGCAGGGGTCTTCCAACTTGGCCCTTTGATGACTGGTGGACTTCAACTCCCAGAATTCCTCAGCCGGGCACGCTGGCTGAGGAATTCTGGGAGTTGAAGTCCACAAGCAGGGGTCTTCCAACTGGGCCCTTTGATGACTGGTGGACTTCAACTCCCAGAATTCCTCAGCCGGGCACGCTGGCTGAGGAATTCTGGGAGTCGAAGTCCACAAGCAGGGGTCTTCCAACTGGGCCCTTTGATGACCGGTGGACTTCAACTCCCAGAATTCCTCAGCCGGGCACGCTGGCTGAGGAATTCTGGGAGTTGAAGTCCACAAGCAGGGGTCTTCCAACTGGGCCCTTTGATGACCGGTGGACTTCAACTCCTAGAATTCCTCAGCCAGCCTGCTTTAAGAGGGGTGGACTTCAACTCCTTCCTTCCTTCTAGAACTTGTACTAGAAGCCTCGTTCAGCCTCCAGATCTTCTCTAGACCGGTGTTTCTCAACCTTGACAATTTTAAGGCATGTGGACTTCAACTCCCAGAATTCCACAGCCAGCAATGCTGGCTGTGGAATTCTGGGAGTTGAAGTCCACATGCCTTAAAATTGTCAAGGTTGAGAAACACATATTCTCCAGGCTGAAAAGGGCCAAAGCAAAGCAAAGGCTCCAGTGCTAAAAAACAAAAAAAATTGATTTTTCTGCTTCTTCATTCCTGAGCGAAGCCCTTTGCCTCAACCTCTTGAAATGCAAGCGATTTAATTTACGATCCGCTCTCTGGGTGATTTTGCCCTTTCTTGAAGAGCAGAAGCAGGAACCGGTTCCTTTGCGAGGGCTGCCAGACTTTGCAATGAAGCGCCTGGTCAGAATGCACCTAATGTGATTAAAAGCATCAAAGGCCCCGTTGTTTGTGGCTATTCAGTCGAAATGCTGGCCTTTCCGCCTCCGTTTCTTGCAGGGGTGTGGGTGAGTTACTGTATCTCTTCAAGGCTTTGCTTGATATAATAACAACAACAACAACAACAATAATAATAATAGCTGAGAAGGGAGCAAGGATAGGATAGGATAAGATAGAATAGAATAGAGAAGAGAAGAGAATTCAGAATAGAATAAGGAATAGAATAGAATAGAATAGAATTACAGAATAGAATAGAATAGAATAAGGAATAGAATAGAATAGAATAAGGAATAGAATAAATAATAGAATAGAGTAGAATAGAATAAGGAATAGAATAAGGAATAGAATAGAATAGAGAAGAGAAGAGAATTTAGAATAGAATAGAATAGAATAGGAATAGAATTACAGGATAGAATAAATAGAATAGAATAAGGAATAGAATAGAATAGAATAGAATTACAGAATAGAATTACAGAATAGAATAGAATAGAATAGAATAAGGAATAGAATAGAATAGAATAAGGAATAGAATAAGGAATAGAATAGAATAGAGAAGAGAATTCAGAATAGGATAGAATTAATAGAATAGAATAGAATAAGGAATAGAATAAAATAGAATAGAATAGAATAGAATTACAGGATAGAATAGAATGAATAGAATAGAATGAATAGAATAGAATAGAATAGAATAGAATAGAATTACAGGATAGAATAGAATAGAATAACAGAGTTGGAAGGGACCTCGGAGGTCATCTAGTCCAACCCCCTCAGGCAGGAAACCCTATGTACCATTTCAGACAAACGGTTGTCCAATCTCCTCTTTAAGACTTCCAGTGTTGGCGCATTCACAACGTCTGCATGCTGCAAATCTGGAACCTTATTTTTCTCACCGTTGAATCGCATTTTGCTAGCCTCCTTCGCGATAAGTGCCGCCTGGCGAGCACCCAGCGGGCAGGGAACTAGTACGTCTCCCGCTCTCCCATCTCCGCCGGTTCCTCAATTGTCGTCCTTTCTCTCCTAGGTCCACCCCCGTCCTCCAAGCGCACGGGCATCCCTGCGCCGCGGGAGCTGCCGAGCGCCGTCGCCCGAGAGAAGGCGGTCCTGAGGCCCAGGAAAGCTCAGCCCAGCCCCACGTCTTCCGGGGCACCCACCCCCACCAAGCATTCCCGCCCCTCCCTCAAGCCCAAGAATGAGGCGGAGGTCGGCGACAAGGCGGGCCTGGCGTCCCAGGTCAGGGAGCTGCTGGCCGAGGCCAAGACGAAGGACTCGGAGATCGTCAAACTCCGCCACGAGCTGAAGAAACACCAAGACCTGTCTGGCTTGGTGGATCTGCCGGTGGATGGTCTTCCAGCCGAGGTGAAGTCCCTCATCCAGGCCCTCCAGGAGAAGAACAAGGCCTTCCAGAGGGAACTTCTCAGCCTTGCCGAGGAAAACCGACTCTTGAAGGAGAAGTTGAGCCAACAGCAGGAACATTCGCCGCTCTCGGACACCAGCAGCAGCCTGCCCACCCCGACCACGCAGGAGTCCAGTTTTGGCAGCCCGACTCAACCGTCCCTCGGCAGCCACCCTACCAGCGGGAGTCCGTGCCTGAACGGGCCTCCGCTGCGCAACTCGGGCTCCTCCAGCAGCGACGTGACCAAAGCCTCCTTGTCTCCGGACGCGTCGGATTTCGAGCACATCGTGGACGTCCCCTCCAGGCCGCCGTCCACCGGCAGCAATGTCTTCAAGAGCTCCAGATGTTCCACCTCGGGCAGCTCGCCCAACAATGTCAGCGACCTCTCGGTGGCCTCGCTCACCGAGCGGATCCAGCGGATGGAGGAGAACCACCACTGCACGGCGGAGGAGCTGCAGGCCACGCTGCAGGAGCTCTCCGACCAGCAGCAGGTGGTCCAGGAGCTGACGGCGGAGAACGAGAAGCTGGCCGAAGAGAAGGCCATGCTGGAGAGGTCCTTCTGCCAGCACCGCGAGCGAGCCGAGCAGCTGAGCCAAGAGAACGAGAAGCTGAGCGCCCTCCTGCAGGAGCGCCCCAAAACGGACGAGAGCAAAGGCAAGGTCCACGAGCTGGAGCTGAGGTGCGCCGAGCTGCAGGAGAAGGCCCAGTTTGAGCGCGAGAAGATGCTCAACATCCAGCAGCAGCTGACCAGCAGCTTGAGAGGCCTGGAAAGAGAACACCAGGAGTCTCAAGCGGCGCTCAAGAACCTGGGAGAGGAGGCCAAGCGGCTGGGCGGCCACCTGGAGACTGAGCGGCAGAACAACGCCACCTTGGCCAGGACGCTGGAAGACTGCAAGGTCCACCTGGAAGGCTTGAAGATTGAGAGCCAGTCGCTGCGCTCCCAGCTGGACAGCGAGAAGCGGAAAGCGGCCGCCCTGGACGCCATGGAGCAGGCAGCTGGCCGCTCGGACGCGCACGAGCTGCTGCGAGGGATCCGAGCCGAACGCGACCAGCTGGAACGATCCTGCACGGAGCTGAGGCAAGAGCTGTTGAAGGCCCAGAGCGAGGTGAAGACACTGCAAGGGCAGCTGGCCAAGGTAAGGCACGCGGCAGAGCCTCCAGGGGCGGCAGCAGTCTACCTGAAAAAGGGCACCGGGGGAAGGTGGTGGTTCTTGTGGACTTCCGGGATGGCGGGAGCGTGAGTCTGCCCGTGTTGGACGTTTTGAGTTTGATCCCGTAGGGCGCTAGCGGCGGTAAGACGGGCAGTCCTCGACTTAACGACCACAGTTGATTCCCCCAGATCTCCGTTGCTAAACGAGACAAGTCGTTAGGTGAGTTTTGCCCCATTTGACGACCTTTCTTGCCACCGTCGTTGAAGGTGACTCCCCGCAGTCGTTAAGCTAGTCACACGGTCGTGAAGTGAATCCGGCTTCCCATCCCCCTTGACTTTGCTTGTCGGAAGGTCGCCGAAGGGGATCACGTGACCCCCTCGGGATATTGCGACCGTCATAAATGTGAGCCAGTTGCCAAGCATCCAAATGTAAATCACGTGAACAGCCGTCATTAAGTATGGAAAAACGGTCATAAGTCTCTTTTTTTCAGTGATATTGTGTCAGAACATGCCCAGTCTTATTGCACTGAAATAACCCAGCAGTAAACAGTGGTTTGTATTAAATGTGGTTTATCTTACACTATCTACAATATCATACACCAGCAACAATATACAAACACCTATTAATACAGCAGGCTCCAACACACAACAAGAAATAGAAGAGAGAGAACACAGTAGCAGAGCCTTCCTTTCTATACAAAGGCTCTTAAAGGGATACAGACCCTGCTGGCTCTTAAAGGGACACAGACCTGCTGGCTCTTAAAGGGACACAGACCCTGCTGGCTCTTAAAGGGACACAGATCCTACTGGCTCTTAAAGGGACACAGACCCTGCTGAGTCATTCCCAACATTACATCGTACATCTTACATCAGCTGGTTAGCTTTTAAATCAGTGGTTCTCAACCTGTGGGTCGGGACCCCATTTGGGGTCGATCGACCATTTCACGGGGGTCGCCAAGTAAGGCTGTCCGCCATTTTTTTGTCTGCCATTTTTTTCCCCTTTTCCAGCGGGTGCCTTATCTCCCTTGGGCTGGGCCAGCTGGTGGTTGGCCTGCTCCGTCTCTGCCACTTGCCAGCTACGCCTCGGCCGGCGCAGGGGGCGGAACCACGCATGTGCGGCGCTCCCGGGCAGGGAAAGTCCTCGACTTACGACCGGTTGGGTAGTCCTCAACTTACGACCGGTTGGGGTCACGGCATTAAAAAGGTTGAGAACCACTGTTTTAAATCATTACCTTGACATGTAACTATGAACAGTCACTAAGCAAGCTGTTGCAAATCGAGGACTATCTGTCCCTTCTAATTTGGTCCAAAGAATTGCCTTTCCAGGACGCTTACCTGGCATTGATCCGAAAATCCAAGGTAGTCCTGAATGAAGTTTCCCAAACTTTGTTTCTGTGGCCAGAAACCGATATTGGATATCTTTCCCAGACGCAACCAAAAGTTGCAAGCAGGAGAGGAAGCTGAGCGGGATTTGAACGAGACCGCAGGGAGGATGTTATGTTATGGTAGCCCTTCCGCAATTTATCTCTTTGCCTCCCAGAATGCTCAGCAATGGCCACACTGCCTGAGGCATTCTGGGAATTGAAGTCCATGCATCTGGAAGTTGTCCAGGTTACACAAGATGGGATCGACTGGGTTCCTATTCCCTATTGCAATCTTGGCTGCTTTAAGAGGGGTGGGCTTCCACTCCCAGAATTCCCCAGCCAGCATGCTTTAAAATGGGTGGACTTCCACTCCCAGAATTCCACAGCCAGCATGCCTTACGAGGGGTGGACTTCCACTCCCAGAATTCCCCAGCCAGCCTGCTTTAAGAGAGATGGACTTCAATTCCAGAATTCCCCTGCCAGCCATGCTTTAAAATGGGTGGACTTCCACTCCCAGAATCCCCCAGCCAGCTGTGGTTTAAGAGGGGAGGGCTTCAACTCCCAGAATTCCTCTCCCTGCATGTTTTAAGATGGGTGGACTTCCATTTTCAGAATTCCCCAGCCAGCATGCTTTAAAATGGGTGGGCTTCATCTCCCAGAATCCCCCAGCCAGACATGCTTTAAGAGGGGTGGACTTCCACTCCCGGATTCCCCTGCCAGCCATGCTTTAAAATGGATGGATTTCCACTCCCAGAATTCCCCAGCCATCCTGCTTTAAGAGGGGTGGACTTCCACTCCCAGAATTCCCTAGCCTGATTTGATGTTCCAACAGCCACTCCCCCTAATCACATGACCGAAATTTAGATATTTGGGCAGCCAGGCTGTATTTACCGGCCGTTGACAAGTCGCAAGCCTGTATTTTACGCTGGTTTGGCCCAAACCCGGCATTTTACTTCTGGCTTTCAGCAAAACCAGCCCTTAGCAAACCATGGGTCCATTTAATGACACCCCCCCCAAAAAAAGATCGTGAAATCAACTCAGTCATGTGACTGACCCGCTTTACAACTATCATGCCTTACGACCGCGATGGGCTGGTTCCTTTACGGTCGTAACCCAAGGACAACTGATTAAAAATCTGCCTGATTGTGCATTGGAAGTGCCATCCCTAATTCTAGCACAGGGGACTTCAAACATGGCCGCTTTAAGACGGGTGGACTTCAACTCCCAGAATTCCCCAGCCAGCAAGGCTGGCTGGGGAATTCTGGGAGTTGAAGTCCACCCGTCTTAAAGTGGCCATGTTTGCAAATATTTTGGCTGTTTCTGCCCGGCTCAGTCTGGCCCTCCTCTCCCCTGCCCAGACCAGCCTAGACCGGCCTCCTTGGTGAGTTATTTTTGTCCTTTTCGGCCCAACCCAGTTGTGACGTTGTGCTGCCGCACTCGGTATGCGCATACGTGCAGTCATTCACCCGGCAAATCTTGGACTTGTAACCCAATAAACCGTTGCTGTACTTGGAAGGGAATCGGAGAGGGAGGGGCCTGTAACCTGCAGGTATCTTGCACTTCCTGGGAAAGATCTGGATGGGGAGGAACAGACTCAGGCTCAACCCTTCCAAGACCGAGTGGCTGTGGTTGCCGGCGTCTCGGTATGGTCAGCTGACGCCATCGCTGACTATAGGGGGCGAATCTTTGGCCCCCTCAGAGAGGGCTCGCAACTTGGGAGTCCTCCTGGATCCACGGCTGACTTTGGATGACCATCTGTCGGCCGTGACCAGGGGGGCGTTTTATCAGGTTCGCCTGATTTACCAGTTGCGGCCTTTTCTGGACCGGGACGCCTTACGCACAGTCACTCATGCTCTTGTCACCTCCCGCCTGGACTACTGTAATGCTCTCTACATGGGGCTCCCTCAGAGGAGCACCCGGAGGCTTCAACT